TTGCTGTTAAGGTTCACTTGCAAATGCAAGGCTAATCCCTTACTTTACAGGTTTTGGTTGAAAAAGCAAGGCTAACCCCTTGCTGTCGAGGCTTTTGTTGAAAATCCAAGTTTTTGTTGGAAATTTACATTTGATTGACAGAAAGAAATAGACATGGCATTTTTTGAACAATAAAAAATGAAGGGCGAACCCTTCTTGTGACGGTTTTCTTTGAAAAGGCAAGGCTAACCCCTTGCTTTTAATGTTTTTGATGAAAATGCCAGGCTTACCCTTTCCTGTCATGGTTTTCATTGAAAATGCAAGGCTAATCCCTTACTGTTAAGGTTTATGGAAAATGCAAGGTTAACCCCTTGTTGTCAAGGTTTGGTTCAAAAATCCAAGACTTACCCCTTGTTGTTAACGTTTGGTTGAATATGCCAGGCTTACCCCTTCCTGTTACGGTTCTCATTGAAAATGCAAAGCTGACCCCTTGCTGTGAAGGTTCGGTTGAAAATGCAAGGCTAATCCCTTACTTTTCAGGTTTTGGTTGAAAAAGCAAGGCTAACCCCTTGCTGTTAAGATTTGGTTGAAAATTTAAGGTTACTTTTTTCCCCTCCTGTTTTTTGTTGAAAAAGGAAGAGTAACCACTTGTTAACGTTTGGTTCAAAAATCCAAGGCTAACCCCTTGCTGTCAAGGTTTTTGTTGAAAATGCAAGTTTTCGTTGGAAATTTACATTTAATTGACAGAAAGAAATAGACGTGGCATTTTTTGATCAATAAAAAAGGCAAGGCTAGCCCCATGTTGTTCAGGTTTATATTGAAAATGAAAGGCTAACGCCTTGCTGTTCAGGTTTGGTTGAAAAGGAAGGCTTATGTCTTGCTTTTCAGGTTTTGGTTGAAAATGCAAAGCTAACCCCTTGCTTTTAATGTTTTGGTTGAAAATCCAAGGCTAACCCCTTGCTATTAAGTTTCAGTTGCAAATGCAAGGCTAATCCCTTGCTGTTATGGTTTTTGTTGAAAAGGCAAGGCTAGCCCCTTGTTGTTCAGGTTTATATTGAAAATAAAAGGATAACGCCTTGCTGTTAAGGTTCGGTTGAAAGTGCAAGGCTAACCCCTTGCTGTTAAGGTTCAGTTGAAAGTGCAAGGTTAACCCCTTGCTGTTAAGGTTTGGTTGAAAGTGCAAGGTTAACCCCTTGCTGTTAAGGTTTGGTTGAAAAATCCTTTTATTGAATGTAACAGGTTAGCCTTGCCTTTTCAACGAAAACCGTAACAGGAAGGGGTAAGCCTGGCATTGTTAACCAAACGTTAACAACAAGGGGTAAGCCTTGCTTTTTCAATGAAAATTGTTACATGAAGGAGTTCGCCTGGTATTTTTNATTTTTAAAAAAATGGCACTTCTCTTTCTGTCAATTAAGGTTTCAATTCAATTAAGGTTTCTAATTCAGGTTTTTGTTGAAAATGCTGTCGTTTTTGTTGATAAGGGAGGGCTAACTGCTTGCTGTTCAGGTTTTTGTTGAAAATTCCTGTTATTGAAAGTAGGTTTGGTTGAAAATGCAAGGCTTACCCCTTGTTGCTAACATTTGGTTGACAATGCCAGGTTTACCCCTTCCTGTTACGGTTTTCGTTGAAAAGGCAAGGCTGACCCCTTGTTGCTACGAGTAACCTTACATTTTCAACCACACCTTAACAGGAAGGGGTAAGCTTTGCATTTTCAACCAAACCTTAAGAGCAAGGGGTTAGCCTTGCTTTTGCAATGAAAATTGTTACAGGAAGGAGTTTGCCTGGTATTTTTATTTTTATAAAAATAGCACGTCTGTTTCTTTCTGTCAATTAAATGTAAATTTCAAACGAAAAGTTTCATAAGTAAGCCATGCATTTTCAACAAGGCTAACCCCATGCTGTTAAGGTTTGGTTGAAAATTTAAGGCTAATCCCTTGCTGTTAAGGTTTGGTTGAAAATGCAAGGTGAACCCCTTGCTGTTAAGGTTCGGTTGAAAAGGCAAGGCTAACCCCTTGATATTAATATTTTCGTTTAAAATGCAAGGCTTATCCCTTGCTGTTGAGATTTTTGTTGAAAATACAAGGTTGACCCCTTGCAGTTATGGTGTGGTTAAAAAATCCAAGGCTAACCCCTTGCTGTTAAGGTTCAGATGAAAATGCAAGGCTAACCCCTTGCTGTTCAGGTTTGGTTGAAAATGCAAGGCTAACCCCTTGCTGTTAAGGTTTTTGTGGAAAATGCAAGGCTAACCCCTTGCTGTTAAGTTTCGGTTGAAAATGTAAGGTTACTCCTTGCTGTTCAGGTTTTTAGTTGAAAAAGGAAGGGTAACCACTTGCTGTTAACGTTTGGTTCAAAAATCCAAGGCTTACCCCTTGCTGTCGAGGGTTTTGTTGAAAATGCAAGTTTTTGTTGGAAATTTACGTTTAATTGACAGAAAGAAATAGACATGGCATTTGTTGAGCAATAAAAATGCAAGGCTAACCCCTTCCTGTTACGTTTTTCATTGAAAAGGCAAGGCTAGCTCCTTGTTCAGGTTTTGTTGGAAAATGAAAGGATAACGCCTTGCTCTTAAGGTTAAGTTGAAAATGCAAAGCTTACCCTTGCTATTCTGAATGTTTTTGTTTGAAATTTACATTTAATTGACAGGAGGAAATAGACGTGCCATTTTTGTTAAACATTAAAATGCCAGGCTAACTCCTTCCTGTATCAGTTTTCATTGAAGATGGAAGGCTAGCCTCTTGCTCTTCAGGTTTTTGTTGATAATGCAAGGCTTATACCTGCTGTTCTGAAAATTTGAGTTTAATTTACACAAAGAAAAAGACACGCCTGCTGGTTTTTTTTTTATAAAAATGCAAGGTTAACCTTTTGCTTGTCTTAATGCTTTTTGCTGACAATTTTGATATCTTTTGACAAAGTATTAGCAAGGGGTTAACTTTACATTTTGAAAAAAAAATTTCAAAGGAACCATCCAAACCTGGAGGGTGTAAGAGCAACAAATAGGACATAAAAAGCTTGACAGTAAAAGACAAGTGAATTGGGATAGAAAATGCAAAGCGAGTATAAGAAGATTTTATTGAAATAATGAAGATACAAATCCACAGCTTTCAGCTGTTTTACATTAGTAATATGCCATTTAACCAAGGAAGATTATCAAAAACAATGTGTTTCATCAGTGACACTTTGATATAGACTAAGTCTATCGACTTAGATGTCATATTTACAGTGGCACTGCACTCACACACACATTCTTCAACTTGACCCGCGCGTGTGCAAGTGGCAAATTGTGACAGTCTATTAGTCAAAGTGAAACGTGCTCGTCCACGAGCATCGACAGTAATTCTGGTTGTCAAATTACAGTAAAGCACTTTAATTGGAGCACTGCAGCTCACTTGATCAGACACATCAAAACAATATCAGTGCAAATCTAGAGACCAGCCTTGGAATTGTGTTTCTCAACCAGGGTTACCAGCTAGCAGATGGTATATATTGTAAATGGCTGGTACTACGTACAGAAGGCACCGTTGTGAGCAAGGAGGGAAAAACTAAATCCAAACATTTTCTGCAGTTTTGACGTTATCAAATGAGGAATCCTCTGGAGTGAAACAAGAATTCCAACAAAATGGCATGAACTACATTCTTTGGTAGACCTCAGTTACGCTTCATAAATGTGTTTCTGTACTGTGTAAATTTATGAACTTCAAAAATCTTTCAAATGAGAAAGGTGTGAACGAAATTAGATTTCAAGGTGTAACCATATTGGAAGAAAATTCTTAGTTGGTATTTGACATTCCTCTAATCGTTGTTTCCCACCTCCAAAAAGATACAGAAAAAAAACAATACAAACGCATATTGACCAGAACATGGTGTTGAGCTTAACAAAATAATTGATATACAATCAACGAGTGCTTCAGGTTTGGACAGGAAGGCTGTTAAGGTTGTCCCGGCCACATTGCACCTTGTCAGCATTGAAATACAGCGAACTGAGTCGGGGTGCCAGTCTACACTGACAAGAAAATGTGGGAACTAATTGTTTCTCTCTGGGGATCCCCAATACCAGTTCTTGTCTGAAGCAAGTTACACCAAATGGTTTGGAAGGACTTGGAACTCCCGGTTTAATCTTTACTGTTCTCTAGTGTCTGCATCTGGTACCCTGATCATAAGACATGTTTGCAATGTATATTTCTGGTTAAGGATATAGGCTGCAATACCGACTGACATTCTATTGCTTCCATTCTTGAGGCCCCTGCGAGTTTGTACAGTAGGTTTCTGAAGACCCCTGGCACAGATCAAGATAGGTCTATGTTGGTCCACGGCACTGAAGGGGGCTTCCGCTCCTCAAGGAGCTCCTAACATCAGGAGCCGTCTGATGCGTCGCACCAACACTGAGATGAACGTGTAGCGGGACTGGCCACGGATGAACTGGGCCTCAATCTCCCTGGTGCGCTTAAGCAACATCTCGCTCAGGCAGCTGGTGGCGTCCACGCGGAGCTGACCAGAGAGAAAGAAAGGGGAAAGGAACAGAATTTGATCAATAGCCAGGCTGCTCTGATACTTATTTCCATTGTTTAGATAATCTGTGGACACTTCAGTATGTCCCCATGGCTTTTAGATCAATAACAACTTCACAAGATACATTCAGTCCTATTTCTGCAGCCACTTTATCCCCCGAATGAAAGAAAAAGCCTTTTGGAAGGCACTTGTCATGTATCTAGCTATACAAAGTATTTCAGAATTTCTCAGAACATGAGATATTCAATTCCATATTAACTAACACAGACAAGGGCTCCCAAGGCAGACCAAAATTTCTGAGGGATTTTTCTACTGTTTCAAGGTAGCTACACTCAGACTGGAACTGTGCCAAGTACTGTCGGGACTCTCCAGTGTTCTAAACTAACCAAAGATTCAAAGTTGTGAGAAAATCAGATTATGAAAAGAGCACATCCAGACTGAAGAAACCTTGCAAGTTTTTCTTGTTTTACATCTCAAACATTCAATACATGTGCATGTGTTACCTGTTTGATATCATCATTTGTGATGCCAAGAAGCACAGGACTGATGGGAGTATGGCTAGGGTCATCACCTGCCCCATCAAGAAGGAATCTGTTGGGATCTACAATAAAACAACCCCAAAGAATGAATTGCAAACATCTTGTTAAAGGAGCACACAATATGAACGTCCAGTTATGGTTCTTATAGGCCTCCACTGTAATGGCTGTTTAGTTAAAAATAAAAATGGCCATTTAAGGTTTACAGCCAACCAAAGACAGGAAAAGCATTCCATCTTGATAGAGACTATGAATAATTAGACTGACCTGTCAATTTTAAAATCCAGTTAATGATGGGCTACTTGGAACTTAGTAGCACTAAATGGTAAAAGTTCAGTTGTATATGATGTGACAAGTTAAGTGCAATACCTGCACTGGGTACCAATAACTGAAGAACTGCAGGCTGAAAAACTATCCCTTTTTGATTGTCATCTAAAATGAAATTTGATTTGATTGCAACGCACACTGTCAAGGGCTTGTAAATACACAATTTGATTTTCTTGACCAAAGCTGAATAGGTCGTGTAATATGAAAAGTGTATGGACACGGCATGAGTTCTATCGATGGAAAAAGGAAGCCTTTGTTCCTCAGATTTTGTCTTGTAAGTAATCACACGCCCATCCATTCTCACCTGGGTCATTCCAGAAATTAGGGGTCCATTGTTTTTTTCGTGTCCCTGTCACATCTGACTGATGATTTTGTAAGTCCAGAACGCATTTTCTAACTTCTAAGTGTGATGAATTAATGCGAATTACTTGCCAAACAAATAGTAATAGCTTGAAACCAATTCCAGTGATATTTCCAAGTCAAATGACAAAGGTCAGATGTAACAGGGACACGAAAATGTCACTTATTGACCTGTAGTTTCTGGAATTACCCACCGGCTAAATTCCTGGGCTGCTGCCTGGGCAGGCTCAATTTATGCAACAAGCTGTCTTTGGATGTCTGGCAATACAGGAGGTAGAACTCTAGGTGGCGCCAGACTAGGAACAAGCTGCACTCAATCATGTCTGAAGTCAGTCGTTAAGGATCTTTCCATGGGACAAGAGTGCGAATGAAACATGTGGCACATTCCAGAGGCTTAACTCAGAAGAGATCAGTCAGTGGCAATTAAACAACTACAGGAATGGAGAATGTTGATTATAAAACGCAAAAAATCAGCAGAAGGTTGAACAACGAAACAGACGTGAGTTGGCATGAATTTCCAACCTCCAAGACATCCATTTCAACTGAACAATGCAAACATATGTTAGCAGTTTCTTAATGTGTTGATGGGTTTGTTTTCTTGAATAGGGTGGTGACTGAAATGATTTCTGCTGTTCTTCATGAAAATGGTCTGTGAACTTGGGGACATAGGGCAAACCTGATACACTTTAAACACCAAATTTGAAACATAATTTTTAAAGAATTGTTAGAAGTACCAATTAATAACGTATGTGAACATCGATTCATAAGCACGTAAATGCTTCAAACGCTTTCCGCTTTTGAGAAAGAAAAGTTAGAAGACTGGGAAAAACTTCAGTCTGGAAGGTAAGAAAAGAGGAAAGAAAAATCGACAAAAAGAAGACGGAAAAGGCAAGAATTTCAACAATTGATTCCCAACCTCTCCTGGACAAATATTCCACCATATCTTATCCCACAATATTTACAGTTATGCAGGGTTAGGGTCTTTTTTTTTTTGGTAGGTTTGGTGTTTTTCAGGATACAGTAAAGGACAGCTAGCTCGTCTGCTTTTTGACGGACGGTGTCGGCAAGCTTTCTGGTCGCTAGTTGCAAGCGATGACTAGAAGACAACTTTTCTGATGTGGGCCCTGATGCTGTCTGGATCAGCTAATGGAACAAAACAGTCATACATTCAACTGAAAAAACCTAATATGTAAAGATCCTCAATAAAACAGATCTGAATGTTTGACAAGTCAGCTACAATTTTTTAAAAATATTGGGCGTTTGGCCCTGCAAGTATTTATAAACAATGTATACTCAAACAGTTGTCTGGGGCTTGTGAAAAGAAACCACATGCAAACTAGCGAGTTTGGTGAGTAGTCTTCTCAGGAGAAGGGAGTGCATTTCCTTGGCTAATAGGATATGTGAAACCAATCCCCATATGAAAAGGTTAGGCATGAATGATGCAAGGTGCAAAGAAATCTCCAATAGAGAGACACCTTCAATCTTTAGTGAACAAACTCACTTTAACTGAAAATTGCACTGCGTTACAGAAATACCATTTCATGTGCAAACATTTCCAAATATGTACAACAGAGACATTCATCTGAGATGAATCCCATTGCCGAAATTAAAAAAAAAAAAAATGTGGGAACGATCACTAGTTGTGTTACAGTGCCCTTTAGCGGTCACGCTCATGGGTCACTCGTTCCAACCCCCTCCCCGCTAGCTCATCAGATAACTAACCTCTTTCAGCTCCTCGGTGGACAGATCGGCGATGTTCTTGAGTTTGTGTAGGTGCTGCTGGTGGCTGTCCATCGTGCTCATGAACTCGCTGGCCGCCTGCCGCAGATGACGCACGATGATCCCCAGGGTGGGGGGTCTGGTCAGGTCCAGCGATGACAGGTGCACACCTGAAAGATGGAAGAAAAATCAACAAAATCATCCAAAGTTGAGTACCAGCTTTCTACACCATAACAAACAGGCACGGCTGGGTTTTATGTTTCCTCTTCTGCATTTCGTTATGAAGGATTTGCATATATGAAGGTCCACTCGTGACAATTTGATTGTGCTAAACACAGTATATTTAATGCCGACTTATTATTTCAACTCGGTAAATATAATTACTGAAAACACTGAAAGCCCAACAAATAATTTCATGAGGTGACAGGAAGGTGACAGATGGAATGTTCCATTTCACAAGGGGAAGACAAGTGGCATGGAGCATTCTATCTATCACAGAATGACTTTGCTGCTCCAATGATTTTTTTAATGAAAAATTTATGTCGTTTTGCAGTACGTAATTTATTCAAGCCACATAGGTTGTTCTTAATTAACCACTTCCTGCCGGGGACTCCGGAATCAGAGACCTATGCTTTATACGCTTGGCCGGGGTCTCCGAACTCAAAGGAAACAGGGCCCTGTAACAAAAGACTGTACTCCGAACAAAAGGCCAGGCTGCTGGGAATTATCAACATTTTTCACTCTCATAAGTGGTGATAATCCAGCCTTGTTTTGAAACCCTATACAATGCTTTGGGGTGTTGAGAGCGGATTACCACCGGGGACAAAAGCGCTCCACCACCGCAGCGATGAGCCACACAGCACCTTTGCATGCTAATCTGGCCCCTATTGAAAAGAGGCCAGCAGTGCACTGAGCCAGGTTCGTGAACAAAAGAAAGTTACATAACACCACACAATCTGGGGTCTTTTTACAAGGCTGCCGGCCTGGCTGAAATACTCAGGCGTCAATGAAGGTCACCTGTCTACTTAGAGTAGTGCCTAAAGATTACTTCTTGCGGCTATAAACAACCGTTGATGATGAATTTTTGAAGGATTTTTTGCCGGCCCAGCATCATCAACATTGAAAAATGCCCCGGCATGAAGTGGTTAATTGCTCATTTTGCCAAGTTTGTTGGGTCCTTGTAAATGACTGAAGCCTGAAATCTATTATCAGGAAGCTTTTGTGAACATAATGGTACCTTCTATTGCCTGATAATCCCTTGCTGTTGCCTCCTGCAGGTTTGGGGTGAACAAGATTTGGCTGTCTTTGGCCGTTGAACCTGAAGCAAAGGAAAAAACAAAACAAAAACGGAACACATAATGGCTACTGAAGTTCAGAACTAAATCCAATGGGACTGTATTATAAACCCTTAAAATGTGGCACATACAGATGGACGCCATTATCAAAATTTGGTTTTCTTCCTTCTTTGTTACATTCCATTACTATTAACAAGGTATACCTTATTCTGCAAGGATTAAATGTCTTTTAACTCACGGTTCTGGTTAAAAAATTCCCCAAATGTTACCAATTGAGTATGTCGCATGTCAAATCACAACAATGCTGTTTTTATAAAACTCCTGAGTTTATAAGAAACTACACTGAAGTCATTTAGTTTTCCATGACAACCTTTCCGTATTTCTCTCATTTCATGAAAGAAAATTTCAATCCAGGGACATGCAGAACAAGGCATGCAAGTTTATGTGACCAGGCATGTCATGCAAAGGCATAACACATGTCATGCAAAGGCATATTAAACACATGTAGCAGACTAAAATTTCTTCAAAAAATTGACTACGAAATCAATAAGTCTTTAAAGGTAAAGTCTTCAAAGATTTAAAGAACAATTTTTCTTTTCATGACAACAATGGCTGAAACAATAAAAAATTACTGACAGAAATGCCTATCTATCATGTCACATTGTCCAAATCTGCCAGTACTCCATGATTCATAGAACCCCTAAAACAAGTACCTGATAGGACAACGATGTTCTTACAGTAGCCAATCACATTGCGGGATATCTCCAGCAGGACCTGGCGTATGCTATCCTTGTGATGAGGGGTGTGGCTGGGGGCATCCCCACCCTGGGGGGCTGTCTCCAGCCTTTTCAGGTCCCTCAACCACCGGTCTAGGGCACAGAACCGGGGCACCAGGGCCATGATCTGACGGTGGATGCGACTCAGGTGGGTCTGTATAGGGACGTGGTTGGGCATGCTAGGATCTGAGGGCAGGTCGTAGAAGGTAACTGCAACAGAAGAAAATGAACAAGCTCAGATAGTTGGATCTTCTCATAGAATCCTTTCCTCAAATTCTGGAAAACGTTACTATAGGCTTTGAGAAAGCTAGAATTGTTCAATTTACATGTATGTATGAAAAGTGAGGGTCCAATCAGAACCTCACAAATGCTTTAAATAGCCTTTGCATAAAAACAGTTCAGTGAAGATAGAAACATCAAGTTCTCCAAAGTTGTACAATTCATGAACTTTAGATCTTTCAAGAAGGCCAGGCAATTTGCTGTAGCCTAGTAAAAAAATTTACATTAAAACATTCAACATAGATGGTGATGAACTTGGGCCTGTGGCTTTGATGCTGGGTCATTTTCATTTACTTCAAGCTGACAATAACAATAATCAACATTCTAGTGAAATATCGCTGATGAACAAGTTCATGAAAAGATGGCAGAAAACTCCAACAAAATGAAAAACAAATTCCCCGACAGCAATGCGGGAGGAGTCCTTGAGGTCAAACTAACCCAGACAGTCACTACATATGCAAATTTCTCTTGTGCTCCATTGCTATTTGCTATTTTATCAACCGCAGTGTGCCCTCTATCAGTCCACCCCAGGCGTGGTCGCCGCCATGTTTGTCCTTCTTTTTCTGAGACACAAGGGTGCCAAGCCAAAAGTGGCGAGGACACGAGGGCCATGACCGTCTGGGTAAGTATGACTGTGAGGACTCCCTCCCACACTGCTGCGGGGGGGAGTCCACTGCGGTCAACTTACCCAGACAGTCACTATATATGCGGCAAGGGCGGTCGGCAAGGACCCACTTGAGTTAAATAGTGGTAAACAGTGTAATATATATGAGAAGAACCGACTGAAGGAAGGATGGGATATATCCAGTCATCCATCTTTATAGCGGTGGCCTGGTAGTCCCGATGTGGAGGATGCCAGAACCGTTTTGCCATGGATACTGTGTCTGCAAGACGCCAGTCAGGTAGCATGAAGTGAAGGTAGAGGGTGACTTCCAGCATGTTGCCTTGCAAATGTCCTCCAAGGAAACGCTTCGGAACTTGGCCCACAATGTAGAGATTGCTCTGAAGTCGTGTGCCCAGATGTGGCGATGAGTGGCATTGTCAGATGGGAAAGGGCATTCAGCATTAGAAAATTTGATGGCAGAGACAGCCCATCTGGCTATAGTCTCTTGATGCAGGCCGGTGAGGCTTCACCAAAGTGATGAAGGGTTGAGAAGAAGTGTCACTGAGATTTCTGGTTCTGACGAGGTACCATAATTGAAAGTTGGAACCAGACACAAGGGCTTGTCGTCTAAGTATCCCGAGTGTTTAGTGATGTCAAGAGCAAACTTGTCCAGAGGATGGAAGGACTCAATTTGATTCATTACGAGGAAGCCCACGGATGGGATGAGGCAAATGCTCTGAGGTTCCCAGCAGATATGTCCATCAGCAATGCATAGGGTATGGAGTTCACTGCCCCTTCGAGACGCGGTAATAACTAGGTGGAAAACGAGTTTCACCTATGTGCAGATGCGAGAGGCGTCACCAAAGGGTTCCAAGGGCTGATGTGCAAGAAGATCTAGAACCCAAGGCAAGTCCTATGAGAGGATGAGGAGTCTTGAAAGACTTGCAGCAGAGGAGATGTTTGAAAGCATTGTTGTCTGACATGGAAGATCCGTCTTGAAAGCCAAAGTGGATGGTGGAGATTGCAGAACAATAACTGCAGATAGTCCTAACTTGTATACCGGAGTTGAAAAGGTGCAGGAAGAAAGCGGCTGCGATCCTCAGAGATGCACTGGTCGGAGCCACACCTCGTTCAGCATGCAATGAAGTAAATTGTCAAAGTCTGTTGCTGTAGACTTTGCACATGGATTGTCTTCTGCTCTTGGCTTCCATCATCAGAAAAGCCAGCTGAGCGGATTGAATGTTTGACAGTGACCAACAGGTCAGGTGGAGAGTCTCTGGCCAAGGGTAGAAGATGCCAGCGCCAAGTTGGTGGAGGAGGTCCAGCCTGAGCAGTAGTATTAGAGGAGCTAAATACAAGGTCTGGTGAGACCAGGGAACCAGGGCTGGTGAGGCCAGAAGGGTGTGATGACGAGGTCTCAGCAGTGTTCCCGCTCGATTTTAGACAGTACGGCTGGGATCAGGGATATTGGAGGAAATGCATAAGTGAACAGCCGAGATGGAGAGCATCGGTTGCCCAAGCTTCTGGGTCATGGAACCTCGTGCAGACCAGTAGCTGGGCGTTTTGTGATGAGGCATAGAGGTCGATGTGGGGTCTATCTATAGCCTCAAAGACTGACCATACTACTCCCGGGTGAAGGGTCTACTCCATCAAGTGGATGTTTCCCCTGGAGAGTGCATCAGCAAAATCGTTGTTGGATCCAGGGATGTTTGTCACTTAGAGATTGATTCTGTGGTCCAGGGCCTAGAGGACCATTTCTCTCATCACGAGGCATAGGCTTGGGGAGTGGGTGACAATTTATGTATAAAAAGAGACCACCATTGTGTAGTCAGATTAGACTAGGATGCATTTGTTCTCCATGGTCAGAAAGGGTGGACCCCATCCCCACTGGGAAGCATCGGTCATGATGGTGAGCTGCTGTGGAGGTCTCAGGAAGGAGAGGCCTTTGGTGAGCCTGGAGCTTCACTGCCACCAGCAAAGGTGCAGGATGATGAACTTCATCACCAGCAAAGGTAAGTCTATTAGGTCCCGGCTGGAGCAGAAGACTGTAAGCAAATATAATTGAACTGGACGCATACAGAGATGGCAGGAGGGAACCAAGTCTATGAGACTCGCCATGAGGCCCAGGAGGTGAAGCCATGCCTGAGCTGGGGCTGAGTGACAAGGAAGTAGGTCACGACTTCCTCACGTTTATGAGGAATCCCAGACTTGTGGAGAGGTGGAAGACGTAGCCTCGATTGCAGATCTGCTGATAATGAGCCAGTCATCGAGGTATTGAAAGATCAGGACGTCTTGGCGACAGAGGTAAGCCATGATCGACCGGACGACGGGTGTGAAAATCCTAGGGGACTTTGAAAGGCCGCAGGAAAGTGGCACAAATCTAAAGGTTTGGGCATAGTAGATGAAGCGGAGGAACCTCTGGTCCTTAGGTGGATCGGAATGTGCACATGCGCCTCCTTCAGATTCCCTGTACAGGCCCAGGCTGGGATCAGCAGAGACTGAGTGACTGTTCGCGAGGTCTTCATGCACAAAGGCCACCAGCGGATGAATCTGTTCAGCAGCTTGAGATTGAGGACTGGGTGCCAAGTATTTGGCTCCTTCTTGAGGGTGAGGAAGAATGTTGAAACGAACCCATCCTGGGATGGGTGAGAGATTGGGCCAAAGGCTTATTTCTGAAAGGAGCTGATTTCCAACTCCAGAGTCCAGTGTTGGACGGAGTTCATGGGGATCAGAGTTGGACGGAGATGTGGGTCAGACAAGGGAGGGGTGCTCGTCTGACATAATGTCCTGCCAGAGCCCTGTGAAAAGTTGCAGTCGGCCCCTGACAGGCCTGGGAGCGGGGGCCAATAGCAAACTGATGGAGTCATCGTTGGCATCTCCCGAATGGACAAGGGAAACAGCCGGAATTTGCACTGGATTTGCGAGACCCACTGGGAAGCTGTGGTGTGTTGAAGGAGGAGCTGAAGGCAAGGTGGGGGGACGAAAGGAGCTCGAAGTAGAGCGGGGACCCCCCACGGTGAGGCAGAGCAGCCCTAGGCTGTGGAGCTGAACTACTGTGGGATGCCTTGATCCACTTGGCCTCAGATTGAAAGGTCTCAGTGAACTGACCTGCAAAGAGGTCTTTGCCGAAGATGGGAGGTTCTGTAAATTATCTTGGACCCCTGGCTACAGGATGTGTATCGGGTCCGGGGACATGGGTGAATCATTCTTGCAGGAATAGGAGAGATACTCCGCAAGCAGGGACGAGAAGGCTGCACAACATAGGCCGTGACACAACACTTTGTTGAGTCTGGTTAGAATAGACTCTAGCTCTGCTTGGGATCTGTCCGCGAATGGTTGATTTCTGCGCAGACGAGATTGCGAATCGGCAATGATCTTGTCCTTGGCGGCTGATGGAAGGTCAGGGACAGAGAGAACAGTGTCTGACTTGGTGAACTGAAAGTAGTTCCAAGCCCGGCCCAGGAAGGGATGCCACTTCTTAGTGGAGGTGAGAACCTTGAATGTCTCCATACAAGAGAGGGAGGACTGGGAAGATGGGCGGGTTTGTCTCCAGTCTAGCCGCATGCGTGAAGAAACCGTGAGACCCTGAGTCTTGGCTTGCCCGTGGTGGAGTAGGGAGGTCTAAGACCTTGATCGTGTCCAGTACGCGGAGATGGGACTCGGCACGGGTGAGGCTAGCCACAGAGCCGCTGTGGTCTTCCCCAGAATAGAAATCACGGACGTCTGAGGGGAAGTGGAGTGAGACTCCTCGGATATCCGAGGCCGGAGGCAAAGCCAGTTCTGAAGTGTAGTGAGCAGTAGTGAGGGCCTCCAAACCAGCGTTGAAGACCGCGGCTTGCCCAACATATAAGCAGGGTTCTCAGGTAGGGAAGATTGAGGCGGCAGCACGGCTGGGAGGGGGTCTGGATCTTAGGCCGTGGCATATAGGGATTGTTTCGCCTGCAACTGGATGACCGAGCTGGAGAGAATGTCCGAAAAAGACTTGAAAGCCGTGGTGAGAGAGGCGGAGTCCCAGTGCTTGGAGGGGTGTGATTTCTTGGTAGAGGAACAAGCGGTACAGGATCATGATCGCTTGTGCCTCTTATGGTCAGGAGAGCCTGTGGAGAAATTCCCTGGAGGTAGGCTTGGCAGTAGCCCATGAGTTGGTTAGGTGGCTCTTTCAACAGGGCAGGCCAAGAAAATGATGGGAATGGCCCATGCTTTGCCCTCTTCTGCTTCACGCCTTTCTGCTCTTTCAACGGGGCAGCCCTAGAAAGTGACAGGGAACAGACCCTGCTTCGCCCTCTTCTGCTTCACGCCTTTCTGCTCTTGAATTGGAGTCCCAATTGAAGCAGGTGGTATCGTTGGAGGCATGGGCTCACTAATGCGGGGTGTCTGCAATGCCACGATACCGTCCGGTGATACCAAAAACGGTATGGCCACCTCGCAATGGTCCAGGGGCCTCTGCTCAGGGAACCCTATTACACACGGGAGACTGGGCTGACGTCAGCCTAGTCCTCTTGATCCTGTGTGGTGCTCGGGAGGGTGAAACCCCCTAGACGCCCAGACTGGTGCTAATAATGCTGAAGCGAATGGGGGCATTCACAGCAGGGTATTGAGTTATCAAAACCAATCCCGGCTTGGAGAAGATGTGCCCAGTTGCTTTCATGATGGCCAGTAGAGAGCCTGCAGATATGCATAGAAATGCAAGCAAAAGAGAGAACACAAACAAATGTGCCGAAACAGTGTTAGCTGAAATCAAACCTCCGACCTTGCGATCAGAAGCCACATGCCCTAACTACTAGGCTACATGCCCCTGAGATATTGAAAGGTAGGAATGGGGGAGGCTGAAAGGGATCGTTACCAAAGCCAAGCACCGTAAAAATAACGACAAGGGGGACTAACCAATTGACAAAGTATGTGATAGTGCGGGGACGAAAATTCTTACACAGGCCAAGGGACTCAAAACAAGTAATTAACACCATAAAGGGTGACTACTGGCCTGGGGAATAAAATTATTGCAACAAACGGGCCAGGAAGGACCTGTTAAAATATACATAAAAGAGATCAATGGCTCAGCTAAAGAACAATACCGGCCAAGCCGTATACATAGTGGGGGCACTGTACAAATAACATTACCAGGTACGGCAATAAATACACGGTGTAGAAAACGGAAGGCATGAAATGCAACTTTTCACAAAAATGTGACAGAATAGTGACACAAAAAGATATGAGTTAAAAGTATGATACAATACAATACTCAACGGTTGATCAGGATAACACAGATCAGCTTTAGCAAAACGGAATGCTCAATGAAATCAAGAAGGTCGAAAGGCAGTTCCGTTTAAAGCAAAAAGCGCTGACAAAAAGAAGGACAAACATAGCGGCGACCACGCCTGGGGTGGACCGATAGGAGGCGCACTACAGTTGATAAAATATTTAGCAAGTAGCAATAGAGCACTAGGGAAATGTAGTGACAGTCTGGGTAAGTTGACCGCGGTGGACTCTAATCAGTTCTGGGAAGTGTAAAGCAACGATCACAGGGCAACGACATGCAAAGAAACGACAAGGAAAAAAAAAACCAAGCTCAATGGCTCAGCCAGGCTCACTGTCCGCAGCTACCGTGCAGATGACGCTAGTTGCCAACGCCAGTTCCTGCAAGGGCTCCAGCTGGAGCTCAGCATGCTGCTCTCTCAAGATGGCGGTGAAGATGTCCGAATGGGACACTACAAAATGAAGCACCTGTTGACATGGGAAGAATGAACAAACTTTTGTGTTTCACAACAGCAGAAAAGGAATGGGTTCCCGTTAAAGCACTCTCAAGGGGACCTAACAGAATTGAGTGTTGTAACCGCACGGCCAAGCGTATATTAACCGACTTGGATGGATGTCTAACATACGTGCACATGTACAGATACATATATCTGTACATGTATCCACATGTTGTCATGTATGTGAATTACGTTTACATGTATTGGCAGATGTGTGTACCGTAATTTCGGAATAAATGCCTTGTATCCGGTTATCTCGCCGTTTTCGTGACGCCAATCAAAAAACATGACCAAATCTCTTCAACACCGCCACCTCGTGTATGCTGCATCGCGGCACACAAACTGCATCTACACCCTGCGACATCCTGACTGTTACCGCATTCCAAAAGGAATTAAAGTGCTTGTGTCTCAGACTGATTTCCCCCCCCCTTTCTTTTTTCAGAGATGCGCGCGCATGTTTGAAACCACAGAGAACAAAAACTTCCTGATGTCTACATGTACATGCACAAATATTACATCATGAAGAAAGCTTGCAAAATTATTTCCCAACTATCAGAGAAAATCTATGGAAATCTTTTCCCACTTGTGAGAAAAAGTGTGAAAATCTTTTCCCATTTGTTGGAAAATGTGTGAAAATCTTTTCCCACTTGGGGGAAAATCTGTGGAAATATTTTCCCACTTTTGGCACACTTTTTCACAATTTTTGGTGAAATGGAAAAGAATTCCCAGGGAAGAGAAAAACTGTGAAAAGATTTTCCCATTTTGGTGTTGACTTTCAATCACAATGTACTGTAAACCATCAGCTCATATGCCAGCCTTGGCTAAAATTCAAAATGAAAGATGATGCAAGAAAGGAACACTATTTCAAAAATGAATGCAAAAACAATTTATTAACTCCATATCTGGTCAAAAATGGAAATGGGGGGGGGGGATTTGGACCTAATGGTAAACCACCAGAATGCCGTACCAGCACAGCACCAAGTGACACATCATATCTGTCATTTCATGCCAAAACACTTCACGAAAATATTAAAAAACCACATATCCCGACAGAAGGGATCAATTTGCAAGCAGCTGAGGGGCCATTGACAGAATGAGACTCGCCTGACTGGCTGCCTCCTTGTGCTGACTCCCCAGTGAGGTGAGAATTGCCAGGCAGAGTCGGAGCACCGGAAACAGCAGTTGGCGGTAGCGCTGCATGACACTGGGGATGAAGGTTTCCACTTCCACCGGCTCCAAGCCCGTCGACCCCATACGCAGCCGGCTGGAGGGGGTCAAAGGTCAACAGGATGGGGAATTCAAAAACAAAGTCTGGACTGCCTACTTGTCATGGGGGAAATGGTGGCTTCGAATATACAGAGAGGTACAGCTGACATAAACAATTCATAACATGCTAAATCAAATAGGAAACTGAAATTGCACCGAGGACGGGGGTGAGATGGGAAAGAAGGAACAAAAGGGGAACAATAATGTGACCGAAACCCCCTCCCCAAAAACTGCCAAAATAAGTAAAACAATAGATCGGCACTGTTTTAGGGTTGTGCCCATAAAGGAATCACTTGGCCAACATTTTGACACAATGGCACTTGCCTCTGAGTACTGTGCTCGGGTCGTAGGTCAAGGAATCGGCAGGAGGCCAGCCTGGCCATAAGCCCTGCTCGAAGAAGTGCCTGGGCGCCAACGGGATTCAGAGCAATCTTCTCCAACAAGGACTGTAAATGGAGGACAAAAAAAAAAATGACCGTGTGGAAGTTATAACATTCTGCTGGAAAACTGGCGGCAGGGAACCAAACAGACTGTGCAAGCCTTTCTCACTTTTTTCCCCACTACAAAGTAAAACATTTCTTGTCAGCATGGCTTAGTTCTTCTATTCCAATTAAACAGTTGTCAAATAAATTGAAGGTTTTAAAAATTGGTCCTGTGTATCTCGTACTTTAAGACCATAAACCAGTACATGCCAAAAAAAGTGTCCACTTTGCCTCCTTATTTTAAAGTTGGCCACTCAGCCCTATCAACAGTTCCCAAAGCCCCAGGGTTGAGTGTAAATCACATTGAATCTTGTTGGGTTTAGTATGATGAGTTGTGTTACGAATGAGCTTTTCCAACAATCTTGACCACGGTCCCCCCCCCCAAAAAAAATGGGAGGAGGAAGGGAATTGATTTCTGTGATTTAGCTTCCTTTGGTGAGTGTCTGTCGTTGAGGCAGGACAAACTATTGGCACTCACCATCTGTGACTCGTAGATGAAGAGCGCCCGGAGCGGTTCAGGGGTAGGCTGGAGAGATTCCAGGAGGGATTGGTCCTCCTGAGCAAGGTTCTCGACCAGGTGGCGTAGGTAGCCCTTGGCAGAGAGGAAAGACAGCCAATCACCTCGCTTGTCAATTCCAACGATGGTGTCAATGACCGACAGGGCAAGCATCTGAGAACGAAATGTTTGGAGAAGTAGGAAACAGATAACCTGAAGTCTGGACATGTACTCGTACTCAAGTACTTTTTCCATGCTGATTCAAAAGAAAAATAAATCCCCTATCCTCCTGGCAAAGTACTCCACTCGTACTCACATGCATGGCCAAGTACTCATACATATGGAAAGGTACTCATACTCAAGAAAATGTTCTCTACTGCAACACTGCCTCAACTAATACTCTGAGGTTCACTCTATGATCTGAAAACAAAATTGGGCTTGCTGTCAAGAGTTGTTGAATGTCTAACAATCAAGCTTGGGGTCATATAGGAAGTTATTACGCGACTGTGAGAATGAGTCGGTGAATAATGCGTGCATTTAAAAACATTAAATAGACAAAGAAATCACCAGTTGAGGATATTAAACCAGTTAGAAATACTAAAACCTGGGGCATCACGGCGGTGTCGGGGTTCCACCAAAAGCATAATGAACACCGTGATCCATGTTGGAATGTTTCAGTTCAATCCAAAATAACATTTTGTTGTTACGGTAATTTATAGTTGACGCTCTCAAGCATATGGGGGCTCATGCATTCAGCGCATCAATGGGAAAAGTTAACATCTTCGGCCTACCTGTTTCAACAAAATGGGCATTCGTAAAAACAGCATGTCTAATTATCATAAACTTGAGTCAAAATGACCATAAGACATTAACAGGAAAAATCCCTCAAGGCTTGGCATGATACAAAAGGTGCACTGTGATGATATTTGAGAAAATTTTGGGGGAAATGTAGAGAGGATTGACAATTTGTAAAACTGGTTGTGTTGCAGCGCGGCATTCATCAGGCACTCACCCGTCCTACTCCCAGCCCATCACTGGCGTCCCGGCACACCAGCTCCATGACCCCTTCCCCGTACTCTTGCATGGTGGCCAAGTTGGCGGCTGTGATGGTTTCGTACTCATCCAGCAGTGCCGAGTTGAGGACGGTGGAGCCGTCTTGCATGGTGGGGATCTCCCGCGGCTTGCGGGGAATCTGGAGATAATTCAGCAGGGTGCCGTAGAGGTTGGCCCTGGTGCGTTGCTGGCTGCCCCCTGAAATAGCAAAAAGAATCAACACCACAAATTTAATCTCAAGTCTTGACAATGCTCAATGACCATGAAAACAGGGCTTGTGCTCTACACAGCCCTATTGCCAGCTTCAAACATTATGGGGGGGGCACAGTGTCAGCAAGGGGGCTGCATCACAAGAAGCGGTGGGGAGAATAAATCACGGTGTGACAAACGTTTTCTCAAATTGGATAAATAAGTTATACTCGGTAGCCGAGGCCAACACGAATGTGATTATTCACATATTAAGAATCTGACTTAAGTGGCTCATTTAGAGGAGGTCTTAGGAAATTATTTATGCCTATGCTCTCAACTGATGGGAGGGGCAGCTTCCTGCCGGGGGAGGGCGTCTCTGGGCCCCTTGGCCCCAACAACTTCTAGATCTCTTCTAAAATATTTTCATGGCCATCTCACATACATTATACTGATGTTGGTAAAAATCAATGATTATTATACACATTTTTCCAAAGGTTCTGCGCAATGTTAATCCATCAAACATGCTCAGTTTTAACAGGATGTAGACCTATACGAAACAAGTATACACTATTATTAAAAAGGAACACACAAATCATGAACAGACTTTATATCAGCTTCAAAGACTTCCAAGCACCATGTCCGTATGAGTACCAGGGTTGTAATGTGGAAGTTCATAGTGTTCTTCTCACTGTCCTACATGAATTGAAATTCACACAGATGTTTGGAAGTATTTCGATAGATCCAAAAACGAACAGAGTCCAACTATAGCAGCACACAGAGCTTAAATTCCTAATTTTCTTTCACTGTAAAGCATATGTCATTGTTGCTTTGATTTACTGTTGACTTTCACTGGAACAAAAAAAATGCTTAGGTGGCTACACAGTTCATCAACAATATTAAGGAAGCTCTAGGAAAGATGCAGCACCTGATATCACGATGAACTTGAGCAACTCCTTCAAGATGGCGGTCAGGGACACCACCTCCACCCCTAATCCCCTCAGTGGGGCGCGGCTCTCCACGGCCGGCCCTGCCCCCCCACCCATCACGCTGGAGCCGTCCATAGCACGGACATACTGGGCAGAGAGCAGCTGGGGGATGCTCTCCGTTTCATCGGTGAGGATGCACTCCCTCAGGGAGGTCATTAAGGTCAGCAGAACTCCACCCACAGGGGAGGCCAGGTCAGGGGTCACCTCTTCCTCGCATACCTTGGATAATCAAGGAGTAGAGGGGTGAAACATGTCCTAACATTGATTTTAAATCACTGCTGGTAATTTCACTGGGTGGTGCGGTTAAATAACATTTTAAAAACATACACTAACCCTCCTGGTATAGTGTCGATCACAGAATCTTGTTGAGTTGGGCATAAAACACAGAGAAGCACTGTTGGTGGGTACACCGTGGAAACGTATTCTTTTAGAAAGACGTGTAGCTTCTGATAAGAGCTAGTGGTGAGGAGGGGTACCAACATTTCAAACAATGTGCTCGGCTTGTCTTCAAGAAATACACAGCTTTAAGCAGCACTTCCACTAGGTCCACTTCAGTGGAGCAATCTCTTTACAAAGGTACAGTTCAAATGCTACTGTGATTATTGTGTCTGGAGGTGTTCTCGGGCAAAGGCACAGACAAAAATAGTTGGGCAATTTTTCTTTTCAGTTACTATTTTTTTTAGAAAAATGGCTTGGGAGGAAATATATTTAGAAATGGATTTTCAGCAATTTAAAAAAATGTCTACTTTAAGGAAGCATTTAAAATTCACCACACTGTTTGAAATTGATTGCTTTTTCAAGGCGAATTACTGGTGGACATTAGTCGAAGGTACACGTTTATAAACATTACTTACCAGGGCAGGTTTGAGAAAGGGGCGCATTTTATAAACGTCACATATGCAACCAAACGATCTCCAATGATGCACATAAGACAAAGAGAAACACAAACCGATTCAAACTTGATCCTACCTTGGACAGCAGTTCCTGCAACAGCTCAACGACAACTTTTTGTTTGGTAGCCAGGGGCAACACCTCGGCAGGGCATGACGTCAGCACCACCTCAGCCACATGCCTCCAGGCGTCAAAATTGTGCCGCTTGGCCGCTAGCCCCTGCCGGAAATTGTTGCGTTTGGTCACGTTGAGCAGCACAGCCTCGATCTCCTAACAGGGAGAAAAAACCCACCCATATTGTTCAGTAATTTGGAGGTACACAGAACATACTATACTAAAGCATACCAAAGAGCTGCTAAACACAGAGATTTTGCACAAACACATTACGGGCAAAGACTCTTTAGGTCTCCTGGTTAGGGTTATGAAAAACATTTACGTTGGGTGTTTTCAGCTGAAGAGAGTCAGTGTACAATGTAGTATGAATAACACATATCTCAATACTTGGAAGAATGAGAACTTAGTCACATGCTCGCTTGAGTGTCAGCATACCAAATAAGAAGAATTCAGAGGAATGATTAACTCCTTCGCGCCGGGGGGTGGCTAGCCACGCTGTAAAAATTGAGATCCTCAGCCCGCTTTTCAGCTATTATTCTCGGCCCACGCTTGAGTGTACACGGTGAAAGAAGGCAGACCCTGGCTCTTGTATATATGGTGATTGGCCTTTGTGTGTAGCCCAGAAATGAAAAGACCGATCATAATCACCAGCTTCACAATAGTCCCCGCTTTGAAAAGAGGCAACGGGAATGTGGAAGCGTGAGTAGAGCTGCATGCCACCGAACAATCAGCCTTTTCACCGTGTAATTCAAAGTGTGCAGAGCACACAGGGCCACAAACCGAGAATTTGCGGTTTGGCAGGTGGCCTTCGTGGCCAAGCGAGGCTGGAATTCTTGGAGTCAGCTTTCGGGAAGAAATTCCCGTCATCAAGGGGTTAACATTTAATGTAACGCTGGTATCTACAATGACATAAAACAAAGGCCAACAACTTCCTGTTTCTTCGTCAGCATACATATCATGTTTATGTGTGCAATGCCTCATAGAATAGAACATTCCATCAATGCCTCATAGAATAGAACATGCCATTCACCACCTCATGGAATTATTCTTTCTTTAGCACGAATGTGAAATAGTCATCATTTGATTGAAGCAACACCTGAACAAATTCTTCCATCACCTCAATTAATTCTGACTGAATAAAATGAATCCTTGTATCATGTATTGGTACAATTTCAGAAATTTCTTCTGTGATCTATCAATGAAACTTCAATTGACCAGATGAATGGAACTTCTATTTTGGGGGATGGCTTAAAGTCATAACAAATAATTCCATGGTATGTGATCAATGATCGGCCAATCAGATAGTTGGGATTTACAAAGGTACTGTACAAAGTGCAATGTACCACACTGATTTTCCACCTGTAGAAGGTACATTTCTGGGTAGATCTGTTGGCTTCTCGTTGGCAAAACCCAAAGACGTTACCTGCATGACCAGCGGCCTCTGACCGATGGCTGAAGCCCCCTGGAGACTGTTCAGGTTGGCCGTCAGGAAGCGGTGTAGCTGCCTAACGTCACAGAGCGAGGCCACGCCGCCACGCTCGGCAGGTAGCTCAAAGGCCCCAATCGTCTTCTCCATGGTGACGGGGTCGCTGTACTCTAGGCGCAGGGAAGGAGGCAGGTCCTGCACCAAGTCGATGGAGTCAAGCAGTGTCAAGATCTTGCGGCGGACCTGGGTACCTGCGTGGAGAAGCAGGAAGGGGATTGCGAGGTCATCTTTAGGAGTGGCTATGAGAACTCTTTTTCTACTGCAGTGATCCCATGTTTTTGTTGAGCTCTAAGCAACAACACCACAATTTGATAGTGGTCAACTAGATGCTCTGGACAGTGCCGTAGTTGGGACCAGTCACAAGACCAATTATTAATAGCAGGCCGTACAATGACAAAGGAAAGCTTTTGTCGCATTGCACTTAAATCAGCTTGTGACCCGAATTCAGATTGGAGGCCTTGTGTTGGTCTTGTGATGGTCTAGCAGAGGTCTTGTGATTGTCTCCAAAGGTTACTGCTGCGGCACTGGCCCAAGGCAAGTCCCCTCAATGCCGCTCATCTTACCAGTAACTCTAGACTGTCCTGGCTGGTACATGGTGCTCATACCCAGGGCACCATGCTCAGCAATCAGGCTCACGTCTGCAACGCCTTGCTCATCAGTCTCCTCATCTGCAGGCCAAAGAAAAAATGTACCTCCAAAATGAAAAGACAGCTAGTATGACATACTATCTTATCTCAACTTAATCTCATCTTAAATTCGCTATATGCATGTTACCAGTGAGGGACTTTCATTTTCACCAAAAAGTATTCTTTCTCAAGGCATAGCCTCCGTGCAGTAACAGTAATATTAAAAATACCATACTTTTACATGGCATACTTCAGCGCCAACAGGCTTTCAGTGTGCTTTTTATAATCCCTGCTTATCGGGCCCATGAATGTTCCTAAGGGTTCTTGTCAAAAAGAAACTCCGCGGACTGCACACGGATTTACGCGGAAATCCGTCCCTTGCTAAGGGCCGACCAACTCGCGTACTCCACGGCCGTATTCGTTCATGCGTGGTCAAGTGAATAAGGCTAGGACGGTCGGCCGTCTATTGTCATTATAATGCTTTACTAAATAATTCATGATGGGTAGCAGGCCTTATTTAATACAAAAACGTGAAACCTGCGAACAAGCTGCATTGAGGTAATTCCCTGCAGAATAAATCAGAGAAAATGACTCGCGAGCACATTTGACATGCAGTGTTTGCGATGTACAGTGTAAAAATATACCACTTAAATATAAGTTTGGGAACAGCCTTGGGCTGCAAAAATCATTAAAAAATGAAGTCCTTAACAGATCGTTTTGAAATTTCTAGATTTATTTCTTCAAGTTCCTGGAATTTTGTTGCTAAATTCAAACGTGGTTTTGGTGTTATGGTAAAAATTACGCATCGTTCGCATTCATGTTCCTGAAGCAGTCTAGAAGGTCAGGACATGCAGGCATCACTCTCCGCGGCTCTTCATACGAACTCGTTGTCAGGACAGAATTTTCCTAAAACAATCTGGGCTTTCTGATTGGTCAAACTGTGTCTTCGAGGCATTTTCCAGCCACGATGCTGCCTCGTACCAGTATTTCGTCCTTTTCAAAGTCCAATTCAGGGAGTTGATTATGTGAGGATTCTAAAAAGGGAAATCTAACAATAGTGCAATTGAAAGACGGAAATCTGGGGAAGCTATAATTTCATCGTGTTTATGTCGGAGATTCACCCCAAAATTCAAAGTTGTCCCCATTTCATCTTTCTAATTTGGTGGTGTAAAACTTTGCTTGAAGAGCTACTTGTGCATGTGTACACGTAGATTTCTATTCTTCAAAATAAGAAAGCATTTCGCCGAATTTGTTTGATTTAAAGAATTACTTGTGTAATTCATTGCAACCTTTGAAATTATCAGAACCGAGTAGGGTGTTTGTTACGTAATTATTGACATTTTTTTCATAGGGTAACTCCAGCTCAAATTAATTTGATACCGTGGAAAATGAGGTTTGCCTTCCATGTCATCGCTGGGTTCACAGCTAGCTATACAATGCAAACATATCTCGCTGTGCACGCACACACGGTAGTGCGACGTGCGTCATGCACTGGAAACAGCCATTGAATATTCGGTGTGCTAAAAGCTAACCAGTTTCGGCTCAATAGACCCTATTCACGTGGAGGCCATATTTGATATTATTCCCCAAATCTGTTATATATATTGTGAACTGTCAATTAGGATGGCACCAGACTGTTTTATACTTCCGTGCGTTGCAAGCCTCCCTTTCAATAATTTTCGGAATCTGGCAAAGTACACTTCTAGGTGTTCAATCAAGAATTTGAAACTATTCATCAGAGTAGACAGGTGCAAATTATTCATGAAATTTCATTTGATTGCTTCATTTGTACTCTCAACATTAAAAAATGAAGAGTTAACCTCTCTTTCACATTCAATCTGGCTGGCCCTGTGAATAAAGCCACTGCCAATAAGAGGTGCGCGCACATGGTTTTGGGCAAAGGCCGTGGCCGTTTTCCAATATGCGAACCTTACCCATTCACTAGTCCGCTGACTCAGCGGACCTAGAAAATCAGCCTAACAAAGTCCATTGTTAGACAATGCAAATAAGCTTGCAGGGCTCGCTGATGACCGGTTGCCAAGGGCCAATATTTGTCCGCGAGCTCCGCGGAGTTCACAAACGGTCAATTTTGACAAGAACCCTAAAGCCACCTCAACTCCCTAGAAGAGTACAAGGCTGGAATGCAGCCATTCCGAGCACAAAAACCAGACACAACAACCCTCTCTGACCTAACAGGTACCCATATACGCCCCTGGGTAGAATGAGGCAATTTGTGACGAGCAGCAAAATTGGAACCGGCAGAAAGATTGGGAGTTAAAACCCCGAAGGGCACACAAGGGAATGTCTTTATCACAGATCAATTCAATAGCCTGCGACTTGGCTTAAGACTTGCGATAGCCTTCTAAGGATTTCTGAGGACTAGTGCTGGACTGGACTGGAATGATGCTGTAAGGGTGAATATACTGTGATCTAGTTGTTTAACTTGTTACTTTATGATGGATTCTCATCAACGCCTTGACTCACCTCCAAAGAGAAGAGAGGGCGAATCCTCCAGGAGGAGACGTAGTAATCTTTGAAGATGTGAACGTTGTCGATTGACAGCGGTCAGTCTGATCTCCGTGGCGATGGCCTTCAGTAACCAAGACTGCTGGTTCAAACGCAGCCCTTCCTCAACATTGCCTGTGAAAACAATTTTGTAAATCCTTTTGTTTTTTTGTTGAAAAATGCGACTTTAATTTGGAATCTACCAAGGTCTATATTAACATAAAAAAGTGACAGGAAAACTTTATAGTTAATTGGTCAGAGTCTGAGACTTGGATAGGCTAGATCAATGCAACAACTTGATTCTACCTGCTGCGCTGCCACTGAAGGGCAGATGCCTCAGCTGGGAGTAGAAGAAATCCTGGGAGGCACGCAGGTAGCGCATGGTGGGGTCCGACGTCTCCCGGTTGGCACAGAGCCGGTAGATCATCTCGTAGGCCAGCTCGGCCAGCCGGGGCATGGCGTGGATGGCTAAGGGGCCCAAGCGGGCATTGACATCTCGGTCCAGGGAGAGAACATTCAGGATGGAATGGAGGCAGGTACGGGGGGACCCCAACACACCTGTGGAAAGAGAGAAGAAAAAAAAACATTGCCAGACCGGCTATTTTTTTCAAATTGATGGAAAAAACAAACTTATTCACTTGGGAACGTTTAACCCCTTCGCGCCGGGAAGCGGAAAGAGCCGCCGTAAAAATTGAGATCC